GCCTGGGTGTCCCCCCAAACAGTTCGAGCAAACAACCGTCTTCCATATCCAGAGGGCCTAGTCCAGTCCCATGGGGGCTCCACAGCCACAGCCACAGCTACATTAAAAAAAGAAAGAAAGAAAGAAAGAAAGAAAGAAAGAAAGAAAGAAAGAAAGAAAGAAAGAAAGACTGAAACCACCATGCTGCAAAGTTGTATTTTCCAAAAATCACACCCATGAAAAAAGCTTTGCTTTTTGAAAGCCCATCTGCTGGGGACCAGCCTCAGCAGTTTCAAGGGTCTTAAAGGGCAGGGATGTCTGGCAGGCACAAGAAAAGACTCTTCTGCATCTTCTCTGCCTCCTCCCGATCGACTCAACCCCAGCCTTTTATTGTAATAAAACAAGGAAATAGGGGATGAGAAAATTCAACAGGTGATTGGGTTTTTCACAATAGTTTCAAAAGTTCTTTTTGGAAATCAGCAAAGTGTACCCCGTGCCCCTTGATTGCACGTAGAGGTTCCCAGGCAGAAAGCCAAAGCATACCCGCTTATTCTTTTGCAGGTTAATAATTATCAGAACATCTGAGGTTATCACCTCAGAGGTCATCTACTGGCAGTTTCTCAGAAAGCACAAAAGTACAAGCAACAGTTTAAGGTGCCAGACTGCCAGCTTCCTCTCAGTTTAAGTCCTTCTTCATCACTCCGAAATTTGTCAAGTTGTTTTCTAACTAGTTCTGGACAACTCTTGTCTTTTATCCTATCTATATGTCACTCCATCTACAGTTTTTTTTGCCACCAGCCTTCTGGGTTTTTCCCATGACCTGCAGAACAGCTTTAACTCCTGCCACTGTCACAATCTCAATATCATTTCTAATTTCGTGGAAACTACTGCAGGAGAGAGAGAAAGAAAATCATAAAGAACAAACGGAGTAGGAGGATTACAAGAACCAGTTAACAGTTGGATGGGTGGGAACAGGACATGCATACGCCATAAAGTCTGCCCTCGGGACACAAGGGTTGTTTTCTCCCTAGCTCACAGAAGGCAGGCTTGGTAGAGTATCTGGCAGGGCAGGCCCAGAGGGATCGATGTCCTCATTCTCGGGTACCTCCAGCACAGATTCCATTGGCAACACGTCAGACTTTTCATATGCCATCTCCGGCACCAATCAGTAGGCTTTCCCTTTGCCTGGGTGACTGAGCAACTTACTCCCTATGGAGACATAGAATCTATTTGCTTTCTCCAGGTGTAGGTGAGAGACGTGGGAGTACAGTCTTTATCTTTCCTTAAAACAGAAGGGCCATGAGTCTACTCTCCCCAAGCTTCCAGCTTTGTTAATTACTACTGTACCCATAGCATGAAGCTCATAACTAAAACTTGTTTAGATTTACACCTGAACTCACTCTAAAAACTACCAACCTCATCTCCAGATTGTGGTGAGGGGCGCTTGTTTATGATGGTGTGTGGTCTTCTAGGCTGAGGCAGAATGGTCATCCTTTGAGGGGGAAATTCCCTTCTGGGGGCCTCTTTCAAGCAGACTTAGTAGGATGGACACAGCCACAAGAAGTCACCTTAGCCCATGTCAAGAAGTATAAACTGCAGGCTCAAGAGTTCTTGATGGGACATTCAGGCCACTGTCCTCAACAGCTAGGCTGATGTCATCATCTCTTTGAGGTGTTTGTCCTCAAAGGAGGTGGGAAAAGTTAATCTCTCTCTCTCTCTCTCTTTCTCTCTTTCTCTCTCTCTCTCTCTCTCTCTCTCTCTCTCTCTCTCTCTCTCTCTCTCTCTCTCTCGTGTGTGTGTGTGTGTGTGTGTGTATGTGTGTGTGTGTGTGTGTGTGTGTGTGTTTCAAATCATCTTTGCTTCCTTTTTATCAAGGCCTCACTCATTCGCTGAGTTCAAAACAGGACAGACTTCATCCAGGAAAGCGCTGCTGGCTGCTGGCTGCTCCCTGGGATTGCAACAGGACTTTATGGGAAATTCACATTTGTATGGGTGGATCTTTAAATGACAGCACATTGCTTTAATAGTAATTGGAAGCAGATGAATCATCAAGAAAGGACGAGTTAGAGTTATGGCTAAGCATAACCACTAACTTCATTCAACCTCTAAGCCCAATAAAGCCTCTCCCCTATATTATAAGAATTCCTTAAGATTGCTTGCTCAAAAGCTAAACAAAACAGAAGTCTATAAACAAATAGTTACACTAACTTTATTCAAAGTGCATGTTTTAGATTTAAAATGATCCAGAAAAAAATCAATAGTTATTGAGATACTACTTGTAAAAATGGGAGGTTTATGAATATTGACCAGATTCTAAATTATATTAAGGAGTACTTCTTCATGTATATAAAAAGGACTGTAGTGTATGAGGGATTTTTTTTCCTAAAAAAAAATATGAGATAATTAAGAACAAGTTTAATGAAGCTTTGTGACTCAGGATTTTTAATAATTTTTTTCCCCACGATACTAGGGATGACCCATGAGCCTAGCATGTGCTAGTCAAGTGCTCTTTAAACCTGAGCTCCTTTTCCACAGCTCCTCTTTGTCCACTCCAGTTTGAGACTTGGTTTCTATAACTTGTTCAGGCTAGCCTCCAAGTCATTATGTAGCTCTAATGGGCTTTGAACTTCAGACCCTCCTGCCTCAGTCTCCTGAATGGATGGGATTATATGGGTGTGATTATGGCTATTCACAGCCGTACCTGGCTTGACTGAGATCCTAAATGCTTGCCAAAAGCCATGCGTTAATGTTTTGGTTAGCTTAGGCTCCTCTGGGAGTTGGTGGGTCCTTTAGCAAGTGGGCCTAATAGAAGCGAGCTAGGTCTTTGGACACATACCACAGCAATGGCTTTGGGCATTCCAAACCCCTCCCTTCTGCTTTCTGGTTGGCAGGAGGTGAGTGACTTTACCTCACCACATGCTCCTTGCCTTGACGCCCTGGCTCAGGAAAGACCACAAGACAGTGGAGCCAACTGACTATGGACTGAATCTTTGAGCCTTGAGCCAAAGTAACATTTCTTCCATCGAGGTTGATTTGCCAGAAGTATTTTGCCACATTGACAGAAAACTGATAAGTTTAATTTTTACTGTCAAAAGTGAGAGAACTAAGGCAAATAGAGAGGGACGGAGTATTAATTCAGGCGGCGCACTTTCAGACAATTATCTTCTCCCATTCAGTTTTTGTATGTGATTCCTTGGCCTGGAATAAATATTCTCAGTGTTGGGGATGAATGAGCAAGCTTTTCAATACAAGTCTGCCTGCATCACACAGGGAAACAAAGTCCCGACAAGGGGTGTGATTCATATGGCTATCCTCCAGCCCCAGACAGGAATTTGTTTATAACTTGCAACACTATCCTAACCCAGCCCTGCGGTTCACTGATCCATCAGAAACTTCCTCTTTGGACCAAATCATCATTACAGATCAATCATCAGCTTCCTTTAAGAGCACCTCTAATGACAGAGTAGGCTAATAATGACAGCGAAAGGCAGGGATAAGGGCAGTAGAAAAGATAGGAAAACAAAGTCCTGGTTTCCACTGTATCTATTGTATAGTCATGTCACTGGAGCTAATGAGCTATTGTATGTTTCAAAATAGCTACAAAAGGGGATTGAGGCTACTCAGTATAGTAAGACTATGCAATGTGAAGTGATGGATATGCTAATTATCCTGATTTGATCATTGCACACTGTCTGTATATATTGAAAAAGTACACATACAATGCATACTTACTGTATATGATTTTTAACAATCTCTACTGTGTGCCAATTTAAAACTATCCCTACCCAGCTCAATACCATGGGTTTTCAAATCATGGTGGGAGTGAAGCAGTCTGGTGTGTGTCTAAACTCCTCATTCTCCAGCCTCAAATCTCTTTGCTTGGAACTCCATAACAGCCTTTGTTAAAACTGACCTTAAATTATAGATGTCTGTCTATGTGCTTATTTTTTTAAACTTCTTGTAGAGAGGAAGAAATCATGATTGTTGTAAGCTCTTTTCTCTTAGAAAATCCTCATCTCTCAGTCCTTTGCATGGGTTACGTCCTGATCACTGTCAATGGTTTTCTAGGTTAAAAATAAACAACTGGGTTATGGAAGATATATGATATCTCACTCAACTCCGAGCCACATGGCCTCCCTCAGAACAGGTCCCACCAAGATCAACAGGGAGATGGTAGGAAGGACTGGAGTCCCACTGTCATAGATTCTCATAATAGAATCCAAAACTCAACTCAACTCCTCACCACTGATAGTCACATCTTCCCAGAAAGCTGAAAACTACAGACTCAACAGCTGTCAAATCCCATGGGGTTGTGCATCACTTGGTGGCCAGAACCAGCCACTCACTGGCTTTGTTCTAGGTGGGCAAAGGGAGACGTGTTCTGGTAAAATGTTACCAACTCATTGCTTTCTCGGTGAGAGGAAATAGCACACCTTTTGGACTCCATGCCCATCACATTGGGTGGATGGTGAATTGCTGGCAGTTTTTTTAATAGTAGACGACTTTCACTATTCTGTAGTATCTTGGAGAAATCTTTGAGACTAGGCCCATATTCTGACCCAGAAAAGCTTGGGGACCTTGCATCCAGCAGCTGAGTGTGCCTAGGCCCTGATGGATCTATGAGAAATTAGTTCCCACTGGGGTCTAAGCCTGATTCCACACTCCAAGGTGACCAAGTAAAAGCTGTGAGGAATAGGCAAGTAAGGTCAAGTTGTAACCAGTAAGTCTGTGACCCATGGCAGCCTAGGTCCCACATACCTAAAGAAAGAAGGCAGGAAGCTGTTCTTGGTTTCCAGGGTAGGAAGAAATTGTCTGGGGCTCCCCACATTTGCATAAGTGACAATGAGTGTGCTCTCAAAGGGCCACTCCTCAACAAGGGAGGTAAGGTGTTCTTTGTTTCATAACTGTAATTACTGGGGTTCTCACCAGCATAGACGTCTACCCAGGGGCCAGCACTTGGACCTATATAAGGCATTGAGTGTGACTCCCTCTGTGTCCCTGCAACTCACCAGGCTTCAGTTATGAGGATCCATTACCTCCTCTTCACGTATCTCCTGGTGCTGCTGTCACCTCTTGCAGGTGAGGCAGGGGAGTGGGGTGGCTCCAAAGGGAAGTGAGAGACAGAGTCTGTCTCTCTGTCTCTCTGTGTATATGTCTGTCTCTCTCTGTCGTGTGTGTGTTTGTCTCTGTCTGTCTCTCTCTCTGTGTGCGTGTCCTCCCCTCCCTTTCCTTCCCCCTCTCTTTTCCCTTCTCCTCCCCTGTCCTGTCTTCTCTTATTTTGACCTCATCTGTCTCTGCTCTTTATCCCTCTACTTCTTTCTCAACTTCCCTTTCTCATACCCTCCCTCTTTTTTCCCATTCTTTTCAACTCTCTCCTCTCTCCTTCTCTCTCCTCATCCTTCCTTATTACCTTCCTCTTTTTCTTTCTTCTAAGCACTGCTAACGTGAACCAAGGACACTTTCTTCTGACCTGGAAGGGGCCTAATGTAGACTTTAAGCTTACCAGTAGCACATGACTTCTGTTTCCAGCTCCTCATGCTGAATTTAAGATTACAGGATGAGTCTCTCATGGATAACTTAAAAAATAATAACATGAAAAAGGTCTGATTCTTATTTGAAGAAAAAAGTATTTATTGAAAAATCTTTACATTGAAGGAGTAGAGTCTCTGCTTACTCTAGAGAATCTCACAGAATAACCAGCCCAGCCTCTCTTTGAGAACTTTGGGTCCTCCAGAATCCCATGAAAGATCCTTAAGCACACACTCTCTACAGGGGTAATGAGACTCACAGCTCAGGAGAAACTGTGGAAAACAGCTTCCCAAACTCTGTCTTAATTGTATTCTGTAGAAAGGTTAATTTTCTTTTAAATTATGTGTAACTGTGTATGGGTATGTGCCGAGGAGTACATTAGCCACAGAATTCATAAAAGGGCATTGGATCTCTCAGAGATGGGGTGATAGGTCGTTGTGGGCTGCCTGATAAGGGCATTAGGAACTGATCTCAGGTCTTCTGCAGGAGCAGTATGCACTCTTAACTCCTGTGCCATATTTCCAGCTCCAATATTGTATTTCATCCATGACATTAGGCAAACAGAATAAAAGGGACAGACAACTCAAGAGAAGGGGTTAAAACAAGTAAGAGAGAAAATGAGATGGCTGAGCCAAGACCTGAAACTGCATTAGTTTCTCTGGAGCTTAGTCATTCGGGTATGCAGCAGACCCTTCAACGTCTGGGTCCTAGGAAAGCTAGCACCCCCCTCACGGCGGTGGTGCCAGTCTCTATCAAGAACTGGATCCTGTCCTGAAGAAACAGATATCCCAGCCTTGGGGGAAAAGCCTGCTGCAAGTTATTCAAGAGAATAGCACGTGGGTGTGTATTTCTGACGGGAGGCTTTCAACTCTAATGTGTGGGTTTTCTTACTCATCTTTCAGCTTTTACTCAAAGAATCAAGAATCCTGTAACTTGCATGACCAACGGAGGCATATGCTGGGGTCCATGCACTGCAGGTTTTCGTCAGATCGGCACTTGTGGCCTTCCTAAAGTCAGGTGCTGCAAGAGAAAATGAGTAAGAAGACCAAGAACCCGTGAGACCACTGAAATACCAGAATCTGTTCCTCTATGAAGATGTGCAAAACTGAAACTCAAATTCAAGTCCTTTCCTTAAGTATAAAATCTTGCTTCCTCATGGCTGTGTGAGGTTGCTGTTTGTTTTCTCACGGGTTGAATTATAAAACCCGTGAGTGCTGTGGGATGTTCTGTATGTTAAATGTGTTGCTCTGATTGGTTAATAAATAAAACACTGATTGGCCAGTAGCCAGGCAGGAAGTATAGGTGGGACAAGGAGAGAAGAGAATTCTGGGAAGTGGAAGGCTGAGGCAGAGAGACACTGCCAGCTGCCGCCATGAGAAGATGTTAAGATACCAGTAAGCCACGAGCCATGTGGCAGCTTATAGATTAATAGAAATGGGTTGATTTAAGATATAAGAACAGTTAGCTAGAAGCCTGACATGGCCATACAGTTTATAAGTAATATAAGTCTCTGTGTGTTTACTTGGTTGGGTCCGAGCAGCTGTGGGACTGGCAGGTGAGAGATATTTGTCCTGACTATGGGCCAGGCAGGAAAACTCTAACTGCAAAGAAAAGGGGAAATATGGTGATATTTTATTTGTACTAAAATGTGATTTTATTTGTATGTTAATAAATAAAGTTGCCTGGGGGTCAGAGCTAATAGCAAGTCAGTCATAGTAGAAGCCAGGCGGTGGTGGCACACACCTTTAATCCCGATCACATGACAGGCAGTTCTCTGTGTGTTTAAGGATACAGCCAGCATGGAGACACACGCCTTTAATCTCAATACCAACCATAGAAGACCTGGAGGTGTGTACAGACAGGCAGTGATGAGGAGGTCATGTGGTTTACAACCAATGAGAAGGCAGAACAGAAAGTCAATAAAAAGACAGATACACAGTAAGTAGGTCACTTTCTGAGGGGAAGGATGACAGTGGCAGTGAAGGGTAAGAAAGGGTTTTTAGTATCAGCTCTTAGCTAATACTCTGACCTCTTGGGCTTTTAACTCTGTATTTGGCTCTGTGTTTCTTATTTAATAAGACTTACATCTACACTTGAGGAAATCAATCAGTGAGAAAGCAGGGCTCTCTTATGCTTCCTGGGTTGATGGACATCTGTCCCTATCCCTGACAGGCTGGGTGATTTCCTGTAACCAGCATTCTTCCTGCCCTGCCCTCTGCATCCCTGTGTGTCCTCCAACCTCTTGCTTCATCCATCCCAACCCAGCACAAGCCAAAGAAGGCAGCCCCAGCTTCCCTCTGGCTTGTGCCTCTGAGTTAATTGTGCCTTGCATGGTTGTAGTTAAGACTTTAATACACTCTGTGACGGCGAGATCTCATGGATGTGGGTTTGGCCTTATTCATTTATGTACTGACTACTGAAGGGAAAGATTGCATCATATGTTATTTTAAATCAAATGGGCAAGTTGAGGCAGGAAGGTGCTTTCTTACATGTAGACATAAGATACAAGGAACTTCGGAGGAAAACAAGACCCCACTGAAAGCAACAGAAAGGAAGAGCAGGGTGAAGATGAGAATGAGATTATAGTTAGTAAGGAAAGAGGTCAGATTCTGTCCTAGGCCAGACCTTCCTGATCGTTTTTTTTTTTTTTTTTTTTTTTGCGGCACTCTTGCCCCAAAGGAAAAGTCATGACATATGATAGACAGAATCCACTAACAAGAGTTTTATCAAGGCAAAGGGATAGATGTGATCAGGCTTGTGGAAGGACATGTGCAAGGAGACCCAAGGAACATGGTGCCGCCTTATAAAGGCCAGGATGCACCTGCGCACACAGGCCCATGTGCAGAGATCACATGGTCATGTCTGGCCACACTATACTAGGTGACCGCGTAACAATGGGGCATGGGTCACGCAGGACGTATGACCCGGAAATGACCAAACAGAGATGACTAAGTGTCCCACCGGGCATGCATGACCATGGGGCGTGGTTGGAATTCCTATCACTTCCCACTGGGGCTCTCACAGTACAGTGGGCTCTGTGTCCTGCTTGGGCAAAGCCCTCTATCCCTTTTCTTTCACTCTTCAGTTAATGTGCATTTGGTCCCTCTCTGTGCATATAATTCAGCTCCAGAACGATACCTTAGAGTCTCTATACTTCCAGACTGAAAGAAGAAATGAGACCTCGGAGTACAACTATTTCATCTGAACCAATGCAACTGATACAGGAAGCATTGGCCAAATGATTGAAGTGTAACAAGCGATTATTTACTGAAGATAAATATCATAATGCAGTGTATCCTTAAAATAAAAGGAGGGGTCTGAAGACAAGGCACACGCAATAAAATGCCTGTTGTGCAAGCTTGCAGACCTGAGTTTGATCTCCAACATCCATGTAATAAGCCAGGGACAGCAGCATATCCGTAATTCTGGTGCTGAGGGGTGGGATGGAGACATGTGGATCCCCAGAGCTCACTGGCCAGCCTGCCATACCAAATGGTTGAGCCCCAGGCTCAATTGAAGATCTGTCTCAAGAAAAAAGAAAGTAAAAGATGGATCCACTGCAGAGATGGCTCCTCAGTTAAGAGCATCTCCTGCTCTAGAGGACCTGGCTGAATTCCCAGCACCTACATGGTTACCCTCTATAACCCCAGTTCCAGGGGACCCAACACCTTCTTTTGGCCTTTGTGGGCACCATACCCACAAATTATTTACAGACATACATACAGGAAAAACACCATACACATAAAATAAATAATAATAACTTTTAAAATAAGGTAGAGAGTGATTGAGGAAAACACTTGACCTTTGGCCTTCACACGCATGTACACATGCACATATCCATACAAACACAAGCATACACACCACACCCGTAAACACACAAATAAAATAAGGAAGCATTTGACTTTTATATAAGGATAATATCTGACCTTGTAATTGCACTTCTAAACCCACACACCTCACTTTGATACTAGACTATTCAAAGCCTGTCTTCAAATAGTTATTTTTGATAATTCATATTTTATCTATAATAAACTTGCCATTTTACTGATATCCAAAGCCACTGTCTTAGGTTGCAGAAATGAGATGATGTTTACTGCAGAAAGTGAAGCTGTCATTCTTGTCTTCTAGAGAATGGCATGACTTGCGAGGTTTTTGCAGCAAATTTTACCTGAGAAAAGACTTTAATGACTATTTTGTTTTTGAAGGCAAGATGCTTGAGTGCATAGGGAAAACTGGTAAAAAAGCAAGAAAATGTTAAATAGCTTTGCATTTCTAAAAATGAAAGGGCTGTTTGGTTTTCTGATAGAAGCAGAGCTAGGGGGTGCACACACAGAAGCACACCACAGAGTTTCAGTGACATAAACGAAGGGAATCTCTGTGTTCCTAAAAGAAAGAGAGTGTCTGCCCTGTGAGAAGTTGCCTTGGAGGAGGTTGACCTGTTCAGTGAATTTAGCTTAAGATCATCAAATTCATTTCCTTAAATGTAATATGAGAAAATAGTGGCTCCATAATTGGTCACAAGAAGAAACAATGCAGTTTGCTATCCTTGGATAGTAGATGAGTTTTCACTTTCACATGGCTGGTCGGTCCCTTTTGTCTTTTCTTGGAATGCTATATACTGTGGAGGTAAAGGAGAGTGAGGACCTCAAACAAGTCTGTCCTGCACAAAAGTTTACTTGTTAACTACCACCAGGGACTGGGAACCATGAGGGATGTGGGGGAGGAAGACATTTTCTTCTGTCTTCCTGGATTCCCTTGGTCATGGTCATGGGAATTAGAGTGACAAGGGACAAAACAGCAGGAAAACGTGGTTTTTTGTTTTTGTTTTTGTTTGGTTTTTTGAGACAGGGTTTCTCTGTGTAGCTCCTGCCTCTGCCTCCCAAGTGCTGGGATTAAAGGTGTATGCCACCACCGCCCGGCAGGAAAATGTTTTAAGAGTGCAGGAGTCATCCCCTGAGAGGAAGCCAGTAGAACACTGACTTAAGCCACCTCTCAGCAAAGGGCACAGTAGCAGAACAGAAAAGGGAATCACTGCTCAGTCTTTTAGGGTCAGCAAGATGGGGGCAAAACTTAAAGAGCATGCGAATCCGTTTAGTAAATCTGTTGAGCAGATTCTGCTCAGTGCTTTTTCAGGGATGGATGCATCTAGAGTTAGCCCTGGTGGCTCAGAGTCCAAAATCACTTTTAGGCAAACACAGTTGTTTCCAATTCAAAATAATCCTCACAGGAAAGCTTATGTGCCTGCCATATGTGTGCAAAGTCTTATTCCTACAGGACACGAGAAAGAGACATTCTCTTTAGGGGTATTTTGTAGATGAAAAAATGAGAGACTCCCAGGGTCCCCAGTGAGGGACACCACTCCTGTCCTCAGCTAGTTTCTTCTCTTCCATACTTTGACCAACAGAGGGCCTCCCGCACTCTCTCCAGAGGTTCACAGGATCCTGCCACATACAGTGGTCTGCTGCTGTAGGATATGGCAGAGCAATAGAGACTTTTCCACAGCGGGATTTGGGGAAGAGGGGAAAGCTATTCAAGGAAAAGGGTAGATGTCTGAGGTGCTGAGGAGACACTGGAGGAGGGAGGCAAATGCACATGGAGACTTTTCAGAAACACTAAAAATTTGCTCACACGCATCATTAGGATTTTTAGCTGTGTGGCGGGGAGTGAAGACTGATCCCAGGAGGCTGGAGAACACGGATTCACATTAAGAACAGAATTTACTGAAACAATACCTGGAAACTGCTTCGTTCCAGACAGAGTAAACGATCCAAACCCACAGATGTATCTTCACTATTATCATTGTTAGGAGTACCAACAGCCACTGGTTATTTCAAAATCCTTAAAAGTTTGTGTACTCATGTGGCAAATAGATGGGTTAGCCTGTGTTAGATCCAGATGGATATAGACAAAGAATTACGTTAAGACTCGGTCCAATTTAACCCCCTTTTAGGCATGAGTATTCTAAGCTAAATCTCACAGAATTGACCCTGAATAAGGAAGCTCCTCATCAGGATGGACAGGAAACTGTCACTTTGG